TAAATGTGCAGATAATTAAATGATGAGAGCTAAAACGTCAAGTATATATTTTTTCCACGTTCAGATTTCACACCAAGAAAAACATAACTATTTGTTCAGATCCAGACAGCATCTGGGCTAAAAAGGCAAAGGTGATAGTGGATGGGAGAACAACGATCAAAACATCTGGACCGGAGACAGAGATCAACAAAACAACCATACAACCAACTTCAGTGTCCAGAGACAGCCCAGAATCTTCTCTGAGTACTGCGACAACAGGTAAGATGTGTGAAACAGTAACATATGGAGTAGTTGGTGATGATATGTGGGGTTTTTTGAGAGAGAGTATGTAGGCTCATACTGACATGAACATGGCATGTTTACTGCTATATAAATAATAAGTCTTGGCTTCTGGTTTTATTACAGTCACATCATCTACAACCAACGACTGCTGCTTAGCAGTAACAAAAAACAAACCAACATTTCATGAAATTGTGGACTACAGAGTTCAAGAAACACCACTTTGCTCTATCAGAGCTGTGCTGTGAGTTTATGACTAAAATTAAAGTCTTTTTTCCCCTCCAAATTTCCAATTGACATGGACACCATAAAATTTTTGTTGTTGTTGTTATTTCTTGTTTTTATATTTTGACATTTATCTGATAGACTGCATAATCTATTCTTAATGGACTCTTATTAGAATTGTATGTCTTAAAGTACAATTTTAAAACAATTTATGTATACAATTTATTTACAGATTCATAACTGTGGGGAACAACAAAATTTGCTCTTCTCCAGTAGAAGACTGGGTCCAGGATTACATACAGAACTTGAACAGAAGGAAAAAAACAATAGACAAGAGAGAGTTTGCCATCAAAAGAATAAAAAACTCCAACACCAATAATTACTTTTGTCTAAAGAAGGAACAATCTAAATACTTTTGCTTCAAACAGCCTTAAAACATCAGTTGGAAAAGCTTGGCCAACTTTGTATGCCTGTATAATGATAATACCAGGATAACTGAACTTCTAAGTCTAATAAACGGATAAGGTGATGCTAGTGAAAAATCAGCACTGTAGTTTCAGTCACATTGTCATATTTGTATTCATGTTTTGTGCGATAACTTCTATTTTGTGTATTGCCTTTTATTAATTTACTTAATTTAAAATCAATGTAAGTATCCAAAAATAATTTAACTAGTAACACAAAATCTTAGGCTGATGAAACAAGGGGCAACTTTTTTTTAGCAATGTTGCTTGGACACTTTCCCATTGAGAACGGGTAACAAATACTTTAGATCGGTAGTGGGCCCTGTGTCTCACCTGGTTGCCCAAAAAGTTGCCCAGTCTATCATCAGCCTTATTAATTCATATTACTTTGTGTATAGACGTATTTATGATGCTATTAGTGTATAAAGTGTCAGTCTTAGAGTTGATTCACGACACTTTGCTGTGCCACAAACGGGATTTTAGATGACAAAATACGCATGCACGAAATACCAATCACTGAATAGATTTCCTTATTTAAGAATATTCTCAGATAAATTCACACTGAATGGTTAAATTCCTAATAGGAGTTTACATTCAACACACATTGGACAATCAAATATTTTCTAGAGAATACATTATGGTAAGGAAACAAATCGTCATCACAACCTACAATTTAGGGTTGTGCCGGTAGACAATAGTATTGTGTATCGATGATAGCCAGAGATATCGCCTGTTGCTGATTTCTTTTACGACAGCAAGACGATTATTATTATTATTATTACTATTATTATCCTTCAAAAATATAGGCGCCTATCTTAAGTGATGCAGCGCGGAGAGCCGCTTCAGAAACTTGCCGCGGCGCGGGTGGTGAGTAGCCGGGCTCAGCTCACAGACTGTGCCGGAGCCGTAAAGCCCAATTTATACTTCTGCATCGAACCTACGCTGTAGCCTAAGCATAGACGCACACCCTACGCCGTAGCCTGACGTGCACCTCTCCAAAAATCTAACAGCAATTCTACGCGGACTGCAAGAGCTGTGATTGGTCTGCTAGAACCCCTCCCTCCGGATGCACTTGAGTTTTGTGTGTGTTTATGTGCACTTTAATATGTTTTAATGTTACACCTTCTTATATAAAATAAAACAAAGCAAAGAACAAGTGTCTTATCATTTATTATACTACATAGCATTATACATCAGTAGTTGTCCACGACAAACAATGTTGATCTGTCTTGGTACAAGTCCTTGTGGAGATTGAAAGTATGCCATCTTCTCCTGTTCCATTGTTGTCTCCTTTTTGTAGTTTTAAATAAGGATTTAATGATTTGATATTTATTTGCCGCCTCACGGCTATAATGCTTCTCCGACGAGTTGCTTCTTCTTCGGCTTTTGCCGTGGTACTGCGGGTTACACCAGCAACATGCCTGTGTTTTTAAAATATAAAGTGTTTTTAAAATATAAAAGCATATAATACTCGCGCTAAACTGAAGTCAGTTATGATGTTCTATGGTAATGTAAATATTCTTTGCTCGTTTTATGTTTGAATAACTGAGGAAATGTAATTGTTTGATTAACTGCTCGTCGTCAAACATTTCAAGAACATTCTTCCTCTCCTGAAAGATTTGCGCATGTCTCTGTCTCCTCAGCGCCATCACAAGCCCCTATCTAGCAACTCCTAACCACTCGAGAGACCTCTCAAGCGGTCTTAAATAACTGGGAGAGTAAGAGCCCTGGTAAATACAATTTTTCTTTTAAAGATGAATTTTTCTGAATTGTTTTTTTTTTGGACTTGCTGAGAAGAGAGAGAGTGGAAGGGATCGAGACTGCCAGATGGCACTCAAACTCAGGTCACCCGAAGCAGTGCTGCGTGACAGGGTGGCTCGCTGATCATAAGGTTATGAGTTTGACCTCGCAATAAATGGTAGGCTACTGTTTGGTTAAAAGTAGCCAATATAAACTCACATGATATGTACACTCCAGTCATATCTGTGGCTTAAAAAAGCTATTTTTATTCTAAAAGAGCACCATAGTTTGCCCTTATACATCATTAGACACTGTCAGCTGCTAAATAAATTATGTCAAATATATGTGTAAGTATGTTTGGTCACACTTTATTTTAAGGTCAAATTCTCGCTATTAATTAACTATTAACTATGACTTTTGCCTCAATAAACTCCT